ATGTATTGCTAGATGCCGCTCATTATCTATAAATATAAATATAAATTTTTAATTGAATTAATTTATATTTATTGTCAACATGTTGAAAACCTAATGGGTCACACACATAAGGTAAATTGTCGAAATTAATTTACCTAGATGCCTTTCATTATCTATAAATATAAATATAAATATAAATTCTTAATTGAATTAATTTATATTTATTGCCAACATGTTGGGAACCTAATGGGTCACACACATAAGGTAAATTATCGAAATTAATTTGAGTTCAATTGGATGTGATCTAATTGATTTTATAGAGGCTTGATCCAATTAAGTATTGGGTTAAATCAAATATGATTTGATGGAGTGTTAAATAAAGGCTCAATTAACCTAAGACATTTTATAATCCTTGTTGGATATAAAGAAGGTCAATTCACTCTATAAAAGAATCTTTTAGCTGCCTCTTGAATATATAGAAAAGTTCTATTTACGTTCTTATGTGTTGAGATAAGATAACAACCAAAAGAGAGAAACACAAGAGAGCTCAAAAGTTGAGAGTTTGCTAGCACAAACTTCGGCTTAAGGATTCACACACTCTTAGTGAAGAGATTTTGATAAATTAGTGTGTGGATCACCATTAAAGGTAGGACAACTATGTTGTTATGATTTGATAAGTATTAGTTGGTGTACAAAAGTTAAACGCAAAGCCAAGGAGGACTCCACAAAAAACAGAAGACTTTCAAGTATGTCAAAATTTCTCTTATGTTTTTTTCATATTAGTTTTAATTAAAGTGATCCATGATTTTGAAGATTAAAATTTTAATAATATTTCACTGTGTATGAGTTATCTTAGTATGATTTAAATCTCCAACAAAAGGAAGATACAAATTACCTTGTAGAAGGTGTATTACAGATGCTTGTCAAACTTTTAACAACACAAAAATGGAGTGCCTTCTCCTGCGAAAATTTTGGTTTGGAAGAGGTTTGACATGTGGATGATAAAAATTTCATAAGGGATGGATGTGTCGGTGCTTGCTGCATATTTAAATATCAATTCAATCTTCACATTGGGTCAATATTTCAACCTAGTCCTCAATTATATAAGTCTAGTGTGCTTGAGCTGTGCTAACAATATCCCATCTTCTGTGACCATCGTCCAGTTATCATCCCACGATACTAGATTAATACTGCCTATTGTTAGCATTGGTTCGATAATGCAGGTCTAGTTCAACACCATGCGTCCGCCATCATTGTTTTTGAAGTGTAGAACAAGATGATCTTGACAGAGAAGAAAAAAAATAAAAATTTAATAAAATTTTAGAATATAATCTTTTATGAATGTAGTGGGTTGTCACATTTTGATATTTAATAAAATTCAATATTTGATAGAGAAGAAAAAAAATTTAAAATTTTTAATACATAGTCATCAAGTTAAAATTATTTTGTGTCACCCTAAATCTTAGTCCTAAAGAACAACTTTTGAATAAAAATTTTTTAAGCAAAATTAGTAATCACAAAAAATAAATTAATCTCTTAACTTGACATCATCAAATTTAAAATGTCCATTATTGAACAAAGTATTTACTTTTAATACATTATTTTCAATAAAAAAATTCTCAAACTGTTAGAGAAATAAAAAGTTTAACGATAATAAACTTTATCGTAAGAAAGAAGTTTATGGTTTTCAAAATAGATACAATATTAAATTTTAAGACTTTTAAATCAAAATTTTTTGCTTTTTTTTTCTGGATAAGGTTTAATCGAGAGAATGATGAGTAAATATTTTTTTTTAAAAAAATATGTTTAAATTAAAAAAATAATATAATAAATATTTATGTTTTAAAATATTAAATTTAATTTTTTTAATTATTTATTAATGATGTTAATCGTCAGAAGATTAAAAATATTATTTTAAAACAAGAGAACCAAATTAACCTTTTGAATTATTTTGAGGGGACATTTTAGATTTTACGGAATTAGTGTAGAAATTGTTTTTATTTAAGAAGAAAAAGACGATTCTCCCACGTCCAAAACCCAAATCAATCCCTTGTTTCCACCTATGTTTCTTTCCCCTCTCTGGGAGTGAACAGAGGCAGGAAGCAAATACAGGAGAGAAGAAGGAAGAATTTGATCTCAAGGAATAAAAGTCTGCAAAGAGCTTGATTTCGAATCTTCTGAATGTCAAGTTAGTTTGGAATACGTAAATATAAAGCAGATGGAAGGAAGGAGGATATCGGCCAGCCCTAGGCCATGCAGTGGGAGGAGAGTGTGGGCTAATAAGAAGAGGCCTCGTCTTGATGGTTATGTCAATACCTTCAGTAAGCTGCTCAGGCGTGAAATTTCATCAAAGCCTTGTTTTTCTATCTCAAATGCCCACGAGAAGTTCCGCAATATGCGTTTGGTGGTATCTATTCCAGTCCTTTTACTCTTCACTTTTAGTTTTTCTAGTGTAAATCGCACTGAGAACTTTACCATGCTTAGATTGTTAGATTACGTTGTATGGAAAGTTTTATTGTTGTGAGTAAAAGAGTTGATGTTGCTGACACCGACTGGTTTGGGAAAGGTCTAATTGAGTCTAAGGAAAGCTGTAAATGCTTATGCAAATGTGAAAGACTATAAGAATACTCGGTTCAGAAGAATGAATCTTACTGGCTTCAAGGGAGGAAGGTTTAAATTTTAGCATGCTAATGACTCAAAATTACATCAAACAACCCCATCTTGATCTTGCATTCATGTTGCCATGGACAAGCTATCATTTGATTTCTCTATTTGTGCCCCAGGAGGAATACGATAGCCATGATCCCAAAGGCCATTGTCCAGTAGCACTGCCCTTTCTGATGAAGAGGACGAAAGTAATTGAGATAGTGGCTGCATGTGACATTGTTTTTGCTCTTGCACAGTCTGGTGTATGTGCTGCTTTTGATAGAGGTCATTGACAAACACGATTCTGATGGCATGGTGAAATGTCACATGCTATGAGTTTAAAGAAATTTTGGTCCTATTTGGGCTTTTCTTCCATGTAATTTGAAATTGCATGTTTACTGATCTATATTCTAAATGCAGAGAGAAGCAAGAGGATATGTTTTGTAAATGTTAGTCCTGATGAAGTCATCCGAAGCTTATTCTATAACAAGAATAATGATTCACTTATTACAGTTTCAGTGTATGCATCGGACAAATTCAGCTCATTGAAGTGCAGATCTACAAGGATTGAGTGCGAAGATATTTTGCATCTTTTTTCTACTTTGTTCATCTCTTACGTGCGATTTCTCATATTGATGTATTTCTTTCATAAATGCTTTAGATATATACGGAGGGGTAAACCGGATGCAGGTTTCGCTCTTTTTGAGTCCGAATCTTTGAAATGGCCTGGCTTTGTAGAGTTTGATGATGTTAATGGAAAGGTGCTAACTTACTCTGCCCAAGATAGGTACATTTTCAGCCCAAAGCGTTAAAAGTTTTGTGATCACCTAATGTACATTCTAAGCTTGGATTGCATTGGCAGCATATACAAGGTGTTTGATCTCAAAAACTATACCATGCTGTACTCTATATCGGATAAACATGTACATGAAATTAAAATAAGGTAAGAGCTCCCTGTCTGGATCGCACTGAGTGTCTCTGTGTGTGTGCACATTGAGCATGTAGCTAGAGAATTTCTCTCTTGATTCTGGGAACCTACTAAGGTGCTTATTTTCTTCATAGTTTCTTACGTGTTTAGATTATTTTTTTGCTTACTTTCTGTTCTACAGTCCAGGTATCCTGTTATTGATTTTTAATAGGGCTAGTGGTCACATTCCTCTTAAGATTCTGTCCATAGAAGATGGGACAGTTCTGAAAACCTTCAAGCATTTACTTCATCGAAATAAGAAGGTAGACTTCATTGAACAATTCAATGAGAAACTTCTTGTTAAGCAGGAAAACGAAAACCTCCAGATTCTTGATGTAAGTTGTCCGTCTTTTTTTTGTTTTTTCATCTCGCTTTCATTGTTATTTTAATGCTGCTAACAATTACTACCCATTTGTATAGGTTCGAAGCTCCGAGCTGATGGAAGTTTGCAGAACTGAATTCATGACTCCATCAGCATTCATTTTTCTGTATGAAAACCAGCTATTCCTAACATTTAGAAATCGGACTGTCGCTGTTTGGAACTTTCGCGGGGAGCTTGTAACTTCATTTGAGGATCACCTCTTATGGCATCCAGACTGTAACACAAATAACATTTATATAACCAGTGATCAGGAACTTATTATATCTTACTGCAAGGCGGAATCTGATGATCAGTGGATGGAAGGAAATGGTAATTCCTTCTGCAGCTTTTTGACATGGAGCTGTCAATGATTTAGAATCTGGCTGAAAGTTGAAGCCAGAGTTTCATTGCTTATTCTAGTTAACGACCCTTAGCTTCTCTATCTGTCATGTCTGGAAAGTGTGTGCTTGAGATAACATAACAAGTTAGTGAAAGTCTGCCTTTAATCTTCATTTTCTTCCAACTGGTTTTAGTTTTCTCTTTTGCTAGGTGGAAGCTTAAACTATAATGAGGATCTAGAAATGTTGTTTTTTATGCAATTGAGACCTAAAATTGCCCTGTTATGTTATCTAATATAGAAGCCAGATGGTCAGATTAGTTTAAATTGTGGAGTTAAACCCCTGTAAATTGAGTTTCCAAAATATATGTTTCATATTATTACAGATGCTTGGAATCATTTTTATCTCTGGCTACATTTTTGTACTACAGTGAGCATAACATTATCAGTGCTGTGTTTTTAATGCAGCTGGATCTATCAATATCAGCAACATCTTGACCGGAAAATGCTTGGCAAAAATAAATGCCTCAAATGGCAGTCCCAAGGTTGACAGCTCGCAGATGAGAAGCACAGTTTCAGAAGCTTTAGAAGACATAACTGCCCTCTTTTATGATGAAGAGCGCAATGAGATCTACACCGGAAACAGACAAGGTTTAATTCACGTATGGTCTAATTGAAGATTAGATAGTTCCTTTGAGCTTGCCTTACTACATATTGGCTAAATTATAATGTATTGCCAAAATGCCTTTGAATTGTATGATTAGATAATTCTAAAATTTTCATGGCATTTTATAGATTTGTACTTTTGTGCTTTATAGACTCTCTGCTTCAGATGTAAAGCTTCAGCTCGAATGCAGAGTTTCATTTCATTATCTTTATACTCAGTGTATTCTTTTATTGGCTTATGATTTTGCGTTTTGTAACTGGGAATTTGCCTGGTGAGATGCTCACTGAAAACAATATGAATGTTGATGTCAATTTTAATTTCATTGCTAGAGAAAGATGCATATGTCAGCTATCTTGATTGAAAAAACAATTATTTGTGATCATCGAGCACTAAATTTCAACATTTCAACTCAACTTTTGGAAAGATAAAACCATGTTGTCTGTTAAACACAAATGGTGAATCTGTAATGAAGCAGAAATCCTGAGCTATAAATCATTCTAGTCCTGCATTCAAGTGATCACGCTGTTGCTTTCAAAGTAGTTAGCGCTTCTAGTACCATATCCCATTTGGAGAAACTTAGCATAACGACTTCATAGCCTTTCCTCCTGAAAATAATGGATGGGTAATGAGTTAGATATCGTTAGTATGAAATGAGAAAAGAAGCTGCATAGGAATGCAATGCGAGGAAGAAAACCAAGCCTCTGGTTACTCTCTGATAATGCAGTTTGCCGCTATTAGATTTAAATATTTATGAGAATGGTGCTTGAGATTGGCTAGAGAGTGTTAATTCCATTGTCTAGCTTACGAATGAATTAATCAGAAAGAGAAAACAACAGATGCAATGTACGATAACAGTACCTTTCTGAATAGTTCTTTAAACATTTAACACGCATGAATGCCTATGAACTAGAACTCAAAAATGACATTCAGACAAATTATGTATAACCAACATATGTTGCAGTTTTTGCTTTGCAACTGCTCCTCTGTAGTACGAGGTATACCATATGCAGAGCTTTCTGATGCTTGGTCATCTTCATATACCAACAGTACATCACAAAGGAGAGCAAAAACCAGAGGATCCTTACATTTCCAACTTACTTTCATCGCCTGCAGATTATTCCAGCAATCCCATTGTTTCTGTACCAGGCTTAAGAATCTGAAATGAGCACAGTAAGCTTGGATCCACACTCATCAGTGCGCCTGCATTATTAAATTCTCCACAATAGTTTGGTGCAGAAAATATGGTAACAAGTTGCCTATCTGCAAAGAATTCATAACCATCTTCCACTACCTACCAATTATTTTCAGTGAAAAGGTCAGTTAATCCTTATTTTTTGATGTATATTACCAAGAAAAAAGAAAGCAACACAGCCTAGTTATAAACTGATATGATGGAAAACATGAAGAGTACCTGATGAGCCCGGCATATGAGATCAAGGTCATGTTTCTTTAAGAACTCAGCTACCTTGTCGGCTCCAAAGGTATAGGAGACACCCCTATCATTTTCACCCCAACCGCTGATGTCTCTATCCGGATCAGCCCAAAGGAGGTCACAAAGAAGACCTTGGTCTGGAACATCTATTGGCCTTTCTATAGCTCTTATTTGATCCAAGCTCCGCATTTCTGGTGAGAGTCCACCATGCATGCAAAGGATTTTTTCATCAATGACTGCAGCCACCGGCAAACAATTGAAACAATCTGTAAATACCTTCCACAGACGGACACTGAAACGACGCTTGCACTCATCATAGAACCCATAGATTCGGTTGATAGAAGCACATTCATGGTTTCCCCTAAGGAGGAAAAAGTTGTCTGGGAATTTTATCTTGTAAGCAAGGAGAAGACATATAGTCTCTATACTTTGCTTTCCTCTGTCCACATAGTCTCCAAGAAACAAGTAGTTGGCCTTTGGTGGAAATCCACCATACTCAAACAACCGCAGAAGGTCTGAATATTGGCCATGTATATCACCTGTGAACACAAAAGTGATGCATCTAACAATTGAGTAGGATATACAGGCATATGTAGACTGCTATTTTGCCATGTCAGGGATATGCATTCACTGTTTAGACGAAGGTAACATATAACACAGTCAAGACATGATGGCATGTAAGACATTCAGATCTCTGATTTTAAATAATGTCAGAAATTTATGATATTAAATAAAGATAAAAGCGCCAAATTTACAAACTCTATCTCCAGCTCCCCTATCCTACATTATCTCAATATATCTAAAAGTTCACATGATTAGCAGAATCTCGGTCTTTAGACTGAACCCATGAAATTGCAGGCGCTCTCTCAACTCTCAAGTTTCAATGCCTTTTGGAGCCCCTACAAATATAACTATTCTAGAAAAGTTATTAAACTTGCATCAGGCTTTTACCAGCTGTTCCACTTGAAGTAGGCACAGATTCAAGCCTCCTTCCTGAGAAGGTTCAGCAAATTTCGGAAGCTTACCAAACATATGCAAAACATTAATGAAAATGCAACAACTTGGAATGTATTCGGAAGCAGGAAAACAATAAAACGAAAGCATAGTGTGTGATGGGAGAATTTAGGCACCCAGATCAACACAAGTATCTAGATCATGAAAAAGTTTGATTCTGCAAAATGGGATTGTGAAGAAATGGTGAATGCAACAAGGAGAGCGTGGCCGGTGAATGGTGATTGATTCTTATGGAAATTCATAACGAAGAAGAGGGCCGAGAATACCGCAGATGTTAATGGGAGCTTCTAATTCTAGGAGATTAGGTTGGTTGAGGAAGACTTTCTTGGCAGTGAGGCAAAGCTGTCTGATTTCAGACTCATTCAGCTGGATTCTTTTCCCTCTGTTGTTCCTTCCTTCCAACAGCCTCTCTATCATGCCTTCCAATCCTTCCATTAGCAAAGCAATTCAGGAATGCCTTAATTCCCCCAGCTGCTACTCTTTCTGCCTTTCGGGGACCTTTCAAAACTCGATCTAATCCACATACAGGCGGAGGGAAACATTGAAGAAGAAGAAGAACAGCAAAAACACAAAAACAAAACAAAAAAAAAAGGAAAAGGAAAGAATCCTGGGTCCAGGCTCTGTGTGTGAGAGAGAGAAACTCAGGCTTTGCAAAAAAATCGCGGGTGTTCGAGATATAATTGGGGTTTGGATGGGGAGGATAGACTGATTGCAAATATTGTTAGTTTCATGGTTTGACTTTGTTTTTTCATGGTTGTGATGTGAGGCTTAATAGTCTTCCAACGAATACCCCCTCCTCCCTCATAAATATTACATTAATATTTAGTTTCAAAGTTCAAAACAAAAGTCAGTCTTATTTTCTTCCAAGTAAAACTTAATTTCCTAAAATAATTTATGATAAATTTCAGTAATACCCCTTGTGGTTTAATGATTTTCCACTTCACACCTTATGCTTGTTTTTTTTGTTCTCTCACTTAATAACTGGGCTCTTATTCTGTTTCCAAATGGGGTTTAAGGTGTCAAAATTTCTCAAGTTTCCATCACATGCTCAAATTAATTAACTTTAAATCCCAATTATATTGTATCTTTCTGATTGACAATTTTCAATTTTTTTTCTCTTCTTCACTTGTGTTTCTTTCTGTTTCTGCTTTGCAAAACATAACCTCTCATCCTTTCTGGCAACTGGCCTCATCTCTCCCCTTTCCATTCCTTTTTTCTTTTGATGATGTGCCACTATTTCTCCTCCCCATATTTCTTTACTCAACCACTTGAATCTTCTCTCTCTACTGAAGCGTTCTCTTTCAATCTCTATTCTGTACATAATCTTTGGGTATGCAATTCTTCCTTCCTCCATCTTTTGTCTTTGATTTTGACTTGCCACCATGTGGCTTTTTTCTTTTCCTTATGTAATTTTAAGGCTTAATCTTGAAAGAAGGTGAAAGTTGATTTTGGGAATTAGAGAGATAGGCAGTTTCAAGAATGGTAGATTATGGAGCCATTTTCCTTTGTTTTCTCTATTTTCTTTAAATTTTTCTAATCCTTTCTGTTTATGATGACAGGGGAATGATTTAATTCAAATGCAAATTCATTCTTGAACAGATTTTTTGTGTGTGTAATCTTTTTATAAACCATAGCATGCAATTCGAATAAGTTTATGCTTATGGACAATTTGGATTAATACAAGAATCCCACAAGTTTGGTTTTCGTCTCTCTTTCCGCTAATATAGATTAATACTTAATCAAGGATCATTAGGACTTTATTCAACTTGTAATGAAAAGCCTAGGGTAAAGGTAGGATAAAAGATAGTAATGAGGCTAACATCACCTTAAGTACATAAATCATTCTAGTACCCTTGTAGAGCTTAGTTCATATCCCAAGTAACAACCCAGACTTGACTTCATCTCTTCTCTTGTCACCACTTTATTCTTTTTTTTTTCTTTTTTAACTCCATCCCTTTTACTTCTATTCATCATATAGCTCAATATATTTTCCTAAAAAGATCGACATACTTAAGAGTGATGGATGCAAAATTGAAGATTAATTATAGGCCAGGCTAAATATGCGTTTGACAAAGAAAAGGTAAAATTAGGCTCAATAGGGTATAATAGGGATAAAAATATATAAGGTAGACTAAAAAGCTTCAAATAGATCAAAGATGGCCTAATCAAGAGAAAATCAAATAAATTTTAGGATACATGACATAAACCAAAAATTTACATCAACATAAATTGTCTCCAAATATGCACAACAATTTTAAGAAAAAGATCCAATGCTCAATTAATGGAAATCTCATTCTAACAATGATACTTACACAAGAATTTACACAAACACAAATTAAATTCACATTTTCCAATAGTCAAGATATCAAGATAACTAAATTTCATCATTGGACTGAGAAAATCATCAGAAAAATGACACAACACAACTCAAGTTAAACAAGATAAAAATAAAAGAAAAACAACTAATTAAACTTAAAATATAAAAGCAAATAAATTTAAGCATAATCTCTATTGCACTACAAGGATAGACCTTAAACACCTTGAAGGGTCTTAACCATCTTGATTTGATTTTCCATGGAAAAGATTGAGGTGTGAGTTATAAAGTAACACTTGTTGTCCAACCTCAAAATCTCTCTAGTGAAAATGCTTATCATGCCACTATTCTGAGATGTGGTGGTAATGTCTTAACTTAAGAGTTGGTGCTTGTTCAATTGAAAGTGGTGGAATAGGCTTAATTTTGCCTAACTCAATGAATTGAATTCTTCTTTGATGAGTCACTTGTGGTGTTGATTCCAAAGAATGTGCAACAA